GTTAATACTAAACTTTTGAATATCTTGGTGAATAGTGGGAGTACTCATAGCTTTATTACTCTACGATGGGCAAAGGAAGGAATGGAGGTAATACAAACTGACCCTTTAGTCATCACTGTGGCTAGTGGGGAACACCTTCACAGTATAGCGAGAAGTAATCAGTTTACATGGCATATGCAAGGATATGGCTTTGTACATGATTTCAGAGTACTACAAATGGGGGGAAGTGATATGGTTTTGGGGGTTGATTGGATGAAGAAATTCAGCCCTATTACCTTGAATTTCAATGAGATGACATTAACTTTCAAGAAAGATGGGAATCTTATTTCATTGCAAGGTGGTCATCGAATTCCTTCTGTTAAGATGATTTCGGGAGACAAGATGCAGAAATTGACCTCAAAACAAACTTAGGTTATTGGAGAATTCTATTGGTTCAGAAATTGATTCTCAGGAAGTTCCACTTATTCTTCAGCCCTTACTGGAAGCTTATCAGCAAGTTTTTGATGAACCAAAAGGACTACCTCCGATTCGAAACCATGATCATGCTATTGTTCTTAAAGCTGATGCTCCACCAATTAATTTGAGACCATATCGTTTTCCTTATCAGTAGAAATCTGAGGTCGAAAAACAGGTTAAGGAATTATTGGCTGCTTCCATTATCCAGACCAGTAAGAGTCCGTTTGCTTCTCTATGTTTGCTGGTTAAGAAGAATAATGGTACTTGGAGGTTTTGTGTCGATTATCGACAGCTCAACCAATGGACAGTCAAGAACAATTTTCCTATTCCTGTAGTTGAGGATCTTTTGGATAAGTTGACAGGGTCAATTTTTTTTAAAAAAATTGATTTACGGTCGGGATATTGGCAGATCCTCATCAAGAAAGAGGATGTACATAAGACAGTATTTCGAACTCATCACGACCACTTTGAGTTTAAGATAATGCCATTCGGCCTAACAAATGCACCAGCCACATTTTAATCTTTAATGAATGATACCTTTGGCCAATATTTGTGGAAGTTCGTTTTGGTATTTTTTGATGATATTTTAATTTATAGTCCTTCTTTAGAGGACCATGTACATCACTTGGAATTGGTTCTGAAAATTCTTAAAACTAATCAGTTTTTTGCAAGGAGAGAAAAGTGTTTTTGGATAGCAGCAGGTTGAATACTTGGGGCACATTATTTCTTCTAATGGAGTTGCCACAGACCCATCTAAAGTGGAGGCAATGAGAAATTGGAAGCTTCCAAAAAATTTAAAATCCTTGCGTGGATTTTTGGGGTTGACAGGCTACTACAGAAAATTTATTAAGAACTATGGAGAGCTTAGCCGACCTCTCACCAATATGCTGAAAAAGGACAATTTTCTTTGGTCTGCAGCTGCTAAGGAAGCTTTTGAGCTATTGAAGGATGCTATGTGCAGAGCCTCTGTCTTAGCTTTGCCAGATTTTTCAAAGAGTTTTTGTTTAGAGACTGACGCAAGTTCTCGTGGTATTGGAGCTGTCTTGTCTCAGGAAGGTCGTCCTATAGCTTATCTTAGTAAAGCATTAGGAGTTCGACATGCATATATGTCCATCTATGAGAAGGAATATTTGGCGATTTTGATGGCTGTTACTAAATGGAGACATTATTTGGAAGCTCGACCATTTATTATCAAAACTGATCATGAGCCACTCAAACATTTATTGGAACATAAATTAACAACGACGATCCAGAAACGAGGCCTTATTAAACTTCTTGGACTCGATTATACAATTAAATTCAGAAAAGGAAGTTCAAACAAGGTGGCTGATGCTTTATGAAGATGTTTTGAAGAGGAGTCTGAATTTAATACACTCACTGCCACTATGATTACACCTGCTTGGGTGCATGAAATTGAAGCTACCTATATTGATGATGATTTTGGCTAAAACAGTTATTACAAACCTTTCCATACGAACTATAGGACCTCAACAATGGTCATATGTTCGAGGAGTGCTTCGATTTCGGGGAAAAGTATATGTTGGGACTAGTGGTACATTGAGTCAAGAATTACTTAGAACTTTTTATGATTCTCCCTTGGGTGGACATTCGGGTGATCAAGCTACTTACCAGCGTATCAAGAGTTATTTTTATTGGCCTGGGCTAAAATCTATGATTCTTACTCATGTGCAACAATGTGATATCTGCCAACGAACGAAGAGTGAGCATATTTCTCCAACAGGTCTGTTGCAACCCCTTCCTATTCCTACTCAAGCTTGGATTGTTATTACTATAGACTTTATTGAAGGGCTTCCTACTTCATCTAAGTTTAATACGATTCTAGTGGTTGTTGATAAATTTACCAAGTACAGTCACTTTATATCCCTTTCTCATCCATATACTGCTGTGGAAGTGGCTCAAAAATTTCTAGATAACATTTATCGACTTCATGGTCAGCCTCAAATTGCAATATCGGACAGAGACAAAATCTTTACAAGTTTGTTTTGGAAAGAGTTTCTAAAACAATTGGGGACATCTACCCTATTCAGTACTGCCTTCTATCCGAAAACAGATGGTCAAACGGAAAGAGTTAAACAGTGCTTGGAGCAGTACCTACGCAGTCTATGTTTTTTGAAGCCAAAAGATTGGGCGAGGTGGCTACCTCAGGCAGAGTGGTGGTACAACACCAATTTCCACACCTGCCATTGGCACAACACCATATCAAGCACTATATGGCTATGAAGCCCCATTATTACAACAGCAGACTACTACTCTAGTACAAACAGTTCATGAGATCATGCAACACAGAACATAATTGAATAGAATTTTAAAGGAGAATTTATTGCTAGCTCAGAATCGAATGAAACAGCAAGCAGATAAACATCGTACTGAACAAGAATTCCATGTGGGAGATGATGTTTACCTGAAATTACAATCGTATAGACAAACTTCATTGGCCCTGAGAAAGAACTAGAAGCTTTCTGTCAGATATTTTGGTCCTTACAAAATCATTGAAAAAATTGGTTTAGTTGCTTACAGACTTCGGTTGCCTCCACATTCTAAAATTCACCTAGTTTTTCATGTGAGTTTATTAAAGAAAAAGATTAGGTCGAATATGCTTACCTCTCTCGATCCTCCAGAGGTAGGGGATGATGGACAATTGAAAATTTATCCAGCTATTGTTCTTGACAAACGGAGTGTGAAGCATCAAAATCGACCGGTGACTCAGTTGCTTATTCAGTGGTCGAATTTGTCACCGGAGAATGCAACTTGGTAGGATTATTCCGCCTTGAAGTCTCAATTTCCTGATTTCGATCCTTGGGGTCAAGGATCTGCTGCTGGGGAGGGTAATGTCATGGTTGGGACGGAGAAATTGAAGATGAAAAAGGAATTGGAAGTGAGTACGATGAAATTAGGGCTAAAAGATGTGGAAATTAAAGAATTGGGGATTAAAGAACCGGTTGAAGGAATGTGCAGTCAAAACGACACAGGACTTAGCATTGAGGAAATGGGCATAGAGCAAACTGACTCACTGAATTAACTAAGGTTGATCTGGTGGTAAGCAAATCCAATGCAGTTGGAGGAAGTAACGGAAATGGTACAATGTACAGCATAAAACAGAATGGAGTGTACTGGAAAATCTTGAAAAATATCTAATGAAAATTCTGAATTCCTTTTCCTTCTTCTTCTAAATTCTTAATCCTTTCTGACCTAAACATAACATATATATACCTTCCAAGTATTCCCATTACAAACGAACGAGAGATGATCCTTAATCCACGTCGGTTGGTAAAAAGGTGAAGGGATGGCAAATTGGCTAACGATACGACGACAATGGCAAATATCATGGGTGGGTGGTGGCACCGATACACGCAAAAAGGACATAAACGGTATTTTGTTGGCACACTCCGCACACCCACGTCAGGTTGAGATCTCCACCATTCCCACCATTAAAAGGGGGTTTGGGCTACCCCTCGGCGCCTGTACTTTTTTGCCCGGAACACCGTTGAGATCTTGTCATCTCACTTTCATGTATCCCCACCCTTTTTCTTGTGATATTTTTTTACTCTCGTTTTGTCTGCAGGTGCCTACATGTTTACTCAGAACATGCCTTGTTTCAACAACAGATCTTTTAATAGATATTTTCACCCATACTTACAGGGCTGCGGTCCAAAAACAAGGGATAAACTAACTTTTAGCCCCTAAATTTGAGAACTTTTTAGAGTGTCTCATCCTCAAAAGGACTAAAAAAAGCTAGAAGTCCAAGTTCAGGGACAATTACGGATCAAAACAAAATATTTTTTCTTCCCTTCTGTTTGATATTTTAGGTTAATTACACAGTGGAAGATAGTTTTCTTCTATCACGTAGATCTTCTTCATTTGATGTTAGATCTTCAAAATTGTTGAGGCTTTTAGGTTGCTAGAAGAACTTGGTCCGCTTGGTAGCAAGGAAATTATGTTGCTCTTATTTTAGGTTGGTTCCTATTGCTCTTCCTAGTATGCATGTTGAATATTTAGAGATGGCAGGGGTAAGCATCTCGTTTGGGTTCAATATTTCATGATACCTTGTCCCTTCGAATAGGATGACAATTTAACCCGAAACCAACAAGTTTCAACCTGACCTGATTCGATGAAATCAATTTTTTAAAAACAAAAATTCAGGTTTAAGTCAAATTATATTTTTTAAGAGATAAAGTCAAGTCAAGTTCAGATAGATGATGAAAAAACTCCAACCCGACTAGGGTATAATAATGTAATTTCTTCTTTAAAAATATTACTATTTTTTAAGTCCTTATTTTATATTGGATCAGATTGGATTTATACTCTAAAAATTCAGGTTAGGTCGAAATTAAGTGGAGATTATATATTTTTCAGATCCGGTCAGATGAAGAATATATAATTTTCGGGTCGGGTCAGGTTCAGGTGGAAGCTACATATTTTCGGATTGGATTGACCAAAAACCCGACCCTAACCTGACCCGTTGCCATCCCTACCTTCACATTAAATACAGGGATTTTGTCATAGGATTGCAAGTTGAAGCCACCTTTCTAATTCAAATCCTGAAATCACCATAATTGGCTAATGAAAAACTAGTATCCACATTGTCCAGGCAAAAGACAGGCCACAATTTTTTTTTCGTGAGGTTCTGGGTGCAAACCAATTCGAGCACTAACCGAGGTCAATTATGTGAACTACTCCTTTGAAGATTTGTTGATAAGTGATTTGTGAATGTGCGGGATAACACCACCTCCTGCTATGGTTCCCTTGATCAAGGTGTCGAGTTCTTCATCTCCCCTGATAGCAAGCTGCAGATGTCTAGGGGTAATACGCTTAACCTTCAGATCCTTGCTTGCGTTACCCGCCAGTTCTAGCACTTCGGCAGTCAGGTACTCCAGTATGGCAGCTGTGTACACAGCAGCTGTTGCTCCAACCCTTCCATTTGCTTGAGCCCTAGTTTTCAGCAATCGGTGGACCCGACCCACAGGGAACTATAGGGAGTTTATGTAAAAAAATAAGAACTCGATAAAATTTCAAAGAATGAAATGTATTTCTCCTATAGTTATTCAGTCTATCACATATAGTACATTACAGATGATGATATGCCAATGTGGCTTGACCACATTCCGAAATCCCAATTTCTGCTAAAACAGCTTAGGGTGCAGAATACATTCTTAAATTGAATATGGAAAAAGATGTTGATTTGGAAGATTTCAGAATATACTAATCAAAACAAACACTGAAGCAAATACAGAAGACTCGCTGGCATTATTTGGCCAATCCAAAATGATTTTGAAGAATACAACCAATTCAGCCGGCATACCCACCGACAACTATCTAATGGCAAAAGTTCATGGTTTTAGGTGGCCTAAATGGTGATATATAAAATTAACATATGTGGTAGCTATCACAATTGATAAGGCCTGAACGGACAACCTCACCGTGTTCATGAGAAACATGCTCATACTCCGAAATGCAAATGCAAAGATTTCAGATTAAAATATGTTTTTAATATCCACACTCTGCAGAAAATGAAGCAAGTAACATGAGGAAAAATATCAGCTCAACCATTAGGATCAACTAAAAGTTAGAAATTAAAACGATATGATTTAATTGTTTAAACATTCACACGGGAAGACTCAGAACTGCTACGAATGCCAACAATTGGTCAATCATCAATGCTTAACTCTTTTGCAAGCACCACTCCAAGCATGAATTCATCTATTTTATTTTAGTTTTATTTCTAACACCTGACATTTGCAGTAGTTATAGTTATGTTTCCAGTTCAATAAGCCTCGACGGAAGCACTAAAAAAAGTTAAACTCGGAATCCAAGCAATACAAAATGCTCTGGATTAATAAGCTGTTGTTTGGTTTTAACAAATATAAAAGCAGTTACAGTTTTTGCCTATTTTCCACCAAGTGAATGCTACCAGAAACCATCCAGTAGTCAATCCACACGCTCCTTTTTGACATTTTCTATTCAAACCATAAAGAAACAAGTATTCTATATCCCTGTGATTTCACCCTCAAATTCAGATTCACACATGCTTTTACTAATGCAACCATTTTTGCTGCTCCAATAAAGTACATGAAAGAAACTACAATAGAAAGCATCATCCCTCAAAAAATTACCGCCAACAAATCTGTTTCCAGAACCTGCTGTAGTTGTAGGTATCAAAATATATCCCAACATCAGATAAAACATGGCACATTAGCACACTCTAGACCAGCATAAGTCTCAACTCTTAACCCTTTTCCAGCTCATTGGAAATTAGGAGATTACATACAAATTTCATGAAAGATAATAGCCAGCAGAAACAAGTAAACAACCAAAATGAACAACTTCTAAGATCGCACGCATTTTGTAAGCAACAATTTAAAAGATCAAACTCTGTACCTTAATTGAACAAACATCTTATTTCCTTTATCTGAAACTAAACTTTTGCCTACAAATAAAGAATGCTCCGAACATCGAAATTCAGAATATATATATATATATATATATATATATATATATATATATATATATATATATATATATATCTAATTCACGGAATTTATCATAAGAGAAGCAATTCAAGCAGAAAATCAGGAAAGAAAGAAAGAGAGAGGACCTGGAGACCAGCGCGAGAAGAACGGGACATGGGTTTCTTCTTGTCCTTCTCTTTATCCTTAGTGGATTTGCCAGCGGTTATCAACCCTTTCGCTCCTTTACCCGACATTTTCCCGCCAAATTACAAAGACCTGGAAGAGAAAATCAGTGCTTGAAAGCGGATGACGTCGAATAGAAAAAGATGCTTTCGGGGAGCGAAGGAGATCTTTTTTAGGCAAATGGGAACGGGAGACTCCAAGACTCCCCTGATCTTGACTTTTTAGTGCCCGCACTTTCACGATATTACCTTTGACCCTTTCAATTTTACTACTACCTAGAAAAGGAATAAACTACCATTTACTCCCTCAACTTGATATCTACTCATAAAATTGGTACCGTATTGTTTGAATTCTCAAAAGTTATAAATTCAATTTTAATTTTATAAATGGGTGCCTTTTATTGGAAATACACGCATGGTTATAGACATATGAATATCAAAATTATTATGAAATGGAAAAAGCACAACTTATAATGATATTATTATTATAAAACAACAACAATAATAATAATTAACAATGTATGGGCCTAATTGTAAGAAAATGGAAATAAAAAGAAGAAAAATGGAAGATAACATGTGAACAGAGGACTAAATCAAATTAAAGTAAAAAAGAACGGCTAAACAAGAAATAGCTCAAAAACAAAGGAAGGCATGGATCTAGCTCATGTCATTGGAGGAATGCCAAAGGTATGACTGTTTATTCAGTTAATTCGGTGGTCGAACCGACCGAATTATCATTAACCGAATTAATTGAATTTTTTTAACCGTTAATTGAATCGAACTTTTTTTCAAAAATATTAATCGAACCGAATAAATTTCGGTTACTTTTCGAATTAACCGAAAATTTTTAAAATTTTCTAATTTATATAAAAATTAAATATTTTATAATTAAAAAAACAATTTATAATTAATTTAAATAATATATAATTATAAAATAAAAAATTTTATATAAATTTTTTAATTAATTAATATTGATTTAGGTTTAAAAGTTATTGGATCTTAAATTATTAATTGGGTTTTAAATGGTTTGGACTGAGCTCATATGTTATATATAATTTTTTTAATATTTTTTAATTCAGAAAAATAGTTTACAATTAATTTAAATAATATATAATTATAAAATAAAAATTTTATGTAAATTTTTTAATTATTTAATATTGACTTAGGTTTAAAAGTTATTGAATCTTAAATTATTAATTGAGTTTTAAATGATTTGGGCTGAGCCCATATGTTATATATAATATATTTAAAATTTAAAATTTTATTTCGGTTAATTAACCGATTTTAAACCGAATTAACCGTTAACCGAATATCCAAAAAAACCTTAATCGTTCCCCGACCGAACTAATTCGGCGATCGACCAAATTAACCGAATTAGTTCAATTTGATCGATTAAAACCGAATTTTGAACGCCCTTAGCCAAAAGTGATACTTTTTTTGGGTGGGTAAGGGCTAAAGTTTAAAAAACAGCCCTTTTTTTTCTTCTTCTTCCTGTTGTTAAAACTTTGCCTAGATTAAAATGAATTGATCCGAGTAACATACTTAATTTATTAGGTGAGTTTCTCGTTAAAGATTTTATGCATAAACAATGGCTCGTACTCGAGATTTACTTAAACGTTATCAAATTGTTTATTAATTGAACCAATCTCGTTGATTAAAAAAATGTAATATTTAATATTGAACGTAATTTAAAATGTGATATTCTTAATAATATTTTTTTATTGAACCCAAAATATTATGAATAATGTCATATTCTCAATTATCAACCAATAAGATTATGAAAAATATAACATGTTAAATTATAATAAAAAAAATTATAAAAAAACTATATTCTACATTAATCTAACTTAAAATATTATACTTTTTCATCAAATTTTTTTGTCACACTTCATTCCACCCTTAAACTTTAGATTATATTACAGAATTATCCGTGAATGGATGGAAGAAGTGCTCTCCTAAAATGACATTCTAAGGGGGTATGAAAATCCTTTAAAAAAGACTTATTTTTCCGTTATATTTGTCATTTTCTTATTATATTATGTCATTTTTCAATAATATTTTAAGGGCTGATGTATATATTTTTTTAACAAAATTAAATTTTATTGTTCATTTTTTATTCTAGAAGATCTAACGTCCTAAAAATTATTTACCTCAACTATAAAAAGCATTAAATATAAATCAAGAAAAAAATCATACATTAAATATCTAGAAACAGAATCAAAATAAAATCTTAAGATAAATATAAATGGCAACAAATTATAGTGTCATGATCTAATTATTAAGATCAATCTAGAATTTAAAAATTAAAATCAAATAATTACATTATCATTTAAATATCTCTATCTAATAAGTCCAAAAAGTTTAAAATGAAAATTATTGAAAGTAAAACGAATAATGCAAAAGAAGGATCGGAATTACTAAAACTAAGAGTAACTAAAATATTCAACGGTAAAGTATACAAAATGGTCATTCGATTATAGAATATTATTTTATTAAGTTTTATAATTATTAGAGTAACTATTCATTATGTTTTAAATTCGTCATTTTTCGTTAAAAATTTGATGGTAATTTGAGTTGAACGATAACTTGTTGACTGAGATATGATTAGGGAGGGTTAGGGTCGAGATTTTAGTCAACCCGACCTGACCCAAAAATATGTATCATCCACCTTAACCCGACTTGACTCGACCGGAAAAATATATATCATCCATTCGACTCCAACTCTGACTGAAATTTTTAGAGTATAAATCTGACCCGACCTGACCGGTATAAAATAAAGACTTAATTAAAATAATAATAATTTTTAATAACATTACATTATTATCGTCGGATCGGGTTGGATTAGAGTTTTTTTTCACCCTTTACCTGAAACCTGACCCGACCTCACCCCTTAAAAGTCTGACTGACCCGACTCGAACCTAATTTTTTTTTAAATCCGACCTTATCATATTTGGTCAGGTTAGAACTCATCAGTTTATGGTTAAATTGTCATCGCTAGATATGATAGTCGTTTGAGATTATGAGTTCACATTATATCGTATCTCAATCGTCAAATTAATATCCAACTCATATTGCCATTAATTTTTTAGCGGAAAAGAACAAGTTTAAAATATAATGAATAGACGATTGATCATTTTGTAACTTTTAATAGTCAATGGACTAAAAAAATAATATCTTATAGTCAGATGATCATTTTATAACTTTTAATAGTCGGATAACTCAATAAAACAACACCATGTAGTTAGAGGGACCATTTATGTAATTTACCCAATAGTCAAAATTGAAGTTTATAATATAAAAGCAAATATAAACTAATAATTATAAATAGTTAATTTGTTTCTTATTATCATTTAGCCTAAAACCCGAATTTTGACAAACACCTTCACCCACCGATATTTTATTTATCCGGAACAGCGGGAAAACGATAAAAGAAGAAGAATAAGAATCCGACACGCTCCAATTTATACGCGCGTGAATAAATCGCGAAAACAGGTGACGAAGAAACGCATAGGTGATTCTGTTGTGCAGCGCCTAAAAAACGGTTAAAAAATGGTGTGACTTGTTAAATAAATGATCGATTAAAATTTAAATCGGTTATGTTATATCATTTAACAGGTAACATTATAAATTTACCTATTACATTATAATTATCGGTTTTAATGTTTTTGGGATTGATACAATTTTAAATGTATCGACACTTTATGTGTGCACCTCGTTGTGCTTTCATTTTGGGAAAAAAATACCGACACATTTAAAGAGTGTCGATACATAATGTAAACCTATTTGCTAATTAACCAGTATATTTTTACCGGTTACATTGTAAATTTACTTGTTACATAATAATTATCGATTTCGATATTTTTTGAATCGATATTTTTCATAAATGCATCGACACTTATGCGTGCACCAGTTTGAGCTCTTCAATTATAAGTTTATTCTTTAAGAAACTAAAACTGACCTAACTTTATTTTATGGAGATAATAAGAGTATATCATAAGTTTGCGTTGAGAGATGTTTGTTTCTGAGTTTTTGTTCTTTGAGAAACAGATAACATGGTGGGTTTCCCAATGTTATTCTTTTGTTACTGCAAAGTTTTTGTTATTTTCTTACTGGGTTTTGCTTAAAATATCTAACTTTTTGTATTAAAAAATAAAAATTCTAGAAAAAATGATCACACAAACACACTTTTTTACTACCGGTTTTGTCATTTCGAGATCGATTTTGTCATATTTTTACCTGTTATATTGTTATGGATTAATACATTTTTATAAAGTATCGACACTTTATTGTCGCTATAACTTCTTTTCTTTTAAATTCTAAAAGTGTCGATACTTATAATAAAGTATCGACACTATCAACATATTCGGTAGCTCTTTACCGGTTTTGTCATTTCGAGACCGGTTTTGTCATATTTTTACCTGTTATATTGTTATAGATCGATATATTTTTATAAAGTATCGACACTTTATTAGCGCTATAACTTCTTCTCTTTTAAATTCCAAAAGTGTCGATACTTATAATAAAGTATTGACACTATCAACATATTCGATAGCGCTTTATCTGTTTTGTCATTTATAGATCGGTTTTGTCATTTTTTACTTTTTTAAGTCAGAGACTACACAGATACATGTAGAAAATGAGTTTGAACAAGGAGATTCTTCTAAAGCAGAACTAGCACATGATGAACAAGAATCAGAGAGTTCTGAAGCTCCAACAACTCGTCAATCAGATTGTGTGAGAAGACGTACCAATTGACACTCAGATTATGTTATATAAGGAAATATTGCATACTTCCTTTTAACAGAGGACGGCGAGCCATCAACATTCCAGGAGGCAATAAATATCTCAGATGCTTTACTGTGGATGATGGCGATGCAAGAATAAATTGAAGCCCTTCATAAAAATAATACATAGGACCTTGTGCCACTACCACAAGGAAGGAAGTCAATTGGTAACAAATGGGTCTTCAAAATCAAGCGAAATGGTAACGATCAAGTGGAGAGGTATCGTGCAAGACTGGTGGTCAAAGGATATGCTCAAAAAGAAGGTATTGATTTGAATGAAATATTTTCTCATGTGGCTCGACTAACAACAGTTCAAGTAGTCTTGGCAATGTGTGCTACATTGAATTTACATTTAGAGCAGCTAGATGTTAAAACAACTTTTCTTCATTGAAATCTTGAAGAAGAGATTTACATGTTCCAACCTGAATGTTTTGAAAGAAAAGAAGAACTTAGTTTGCAAGTTGAACAAATCTCTATATGGTCTAAAACAGGCGCCGAGGTGTTGGTATAAGAGATTTGATTCCTTCAATATGTGCCTTGGATACAACAAACTTAATGCAGACCCTTTTATTTATTTCAAGAGGTTTGGTGATATCGATTTTGTTATATTGTTGTTGTATGTGGATGACATGTTGGTTGCAAGACCCAACAAAGATCATATTGAAGAATTGAAGGAACAACTGGCTAGGGAATTTGAAATGAAGGACTTGGGATCAGCAAACAAGATTCTAGGGATACAAATTTACCGAGACAGAAGTAATAGGAAGATTTGGCTTGCACAAAAGAATTACTTGAAGAAGATCTTGTCACGATTCAACATGCAAGATTGTAAGCCAATTTCTACCCCTCTTCCTATTAACTTCAAATTATCCTTCAGTATGAATCCTAGCAGTGAAGAAGAGAGTATGGAGATGTCTCGAGTACCGTATGCATCGACAGTGAGAAGTTTAATGTTCGCTATGATATGCACAAGACCAGACATTGCACAAGTAGTGGGAATGGTTAGTCGGTACATGACGAATCCAGGCAAAGAACATTGGAATACAACAAAGAGGTACAAGATAGAAAGAATGGTGTGAATATATGATTGTTCCAATCAAATCTTCAAGTGGGAGACGGTTGAAAGTCAAAATAGGACAACATTAATGGGGCAACTGCAGAGTGCGTTATTTGGTCCAATTTGGCAGCATGATTTGGTTGAAAAGTGGAATGGAAAAATTACTCATTTAGTCCCTGTACTTTAGGATATTTACAAGATTAATTCTTAAGCTTCAACTGTAAATACCCTAACCCTTTTAGCTTCAACTGTAAATACCTAACTCATTTAGCTTCAAAACCATCTCAAATCATTTCAGCTTTCTCCCAATACTAGAGAATTTAGAGAGTTTTCTTGATAGTTATTTTTTCATTTTTATCAAGAGAGAATTGTTAATGTTTTCTCCTTGTTAAATCGAGAGAAGTTGTAATTCCTATTTTTTTCATAGTGAAATTCTTCTATATTTGCCCATGGTTTTTACCCTATATTATTTAGGGGTTTTTCACGTAAAATTTGTGTCTTCTTTATCTTCATTTTTATTTTCTCAAATTATCAGTTGCGATTTTGCTCTATCCGATAGTCGTATTCCTCAACAATATCCATAAGAAAAACAGATTCTGCAACTCCTAAAGAAACTAAAACCACATTCATGACACAAGGATTCCCTAAAATACTAACTGCAGTGGTTCATTGTCCGTCTGTGATCCGTTGGGAAGTTAATATGGAACTGAACTTTCAAGTTCCCTCTGCTTCCTTCTCCTTTTGAGTTCGACATGCCCTGGCCTGTGATTATCTTTTTTTAGCCAAGGTTAATGGCTTCATCTATCTTCAGTTCCATGTCCTCCCAACCCAGTAAAGGTATGGGAAGACTACAACCTGCTAGAGGTTTCACCCGAGGAATTTCAATTGTTTAACTCCAAATCATCACCATATCTTTCGAACATCAGATGTTGTTTCTCCACGATCACATAAGTTACACCAGCTACATATGATCCGGGTAATTCAATTTCCCTTCCTTCAAATGTAATCTTTGTTCCCTTCTTCCATCCCGACTAAACGTTTATCGATAACATCTCTTGTTCAACTCTTTGCCTGCAGATATATAAGATCATTACAAAGTATCAGTTTCAGATTTTAGCAGGGCATGTTGAAATCAGAACAATATCATCATGTTAAGGCATGTGATATTTATCTTCTTTTGTAGATCCATAGCATAACTCTTCAAGTGTGCAACCAAGTTGCCTCTCAATCGATGGTTAAGTTTGAAAACATGATTGAATTTCCACTGAAACGGCTCGAGCTTCTCGAAACAGACTTGGCCACTCGGGTAAGTTGTTTCTATTTATCTGAGATATTTCTTGTTTTGTCATTTTCTACATGTATCTGTGTACTCTCTGATACTTATAATAAAGTATTGAAATAAGATAACAAGTTCACTTTTCAATATATCTAATAAATGTCAAAATATCCTGTCAATTTGAAAATCCACTTCTGATTTCTGCCCTCATATTTTACATTGGTTTCATGAACTTCTTGTTGTTGTTTCATCATCGTTATTTTTACTATTATCATTATAGAAACATTCAAACAATTATTTATCAAATTGTAAGGAGGACCTTTTAAATTACATGATATGTTTAGTCAAAATAACTTGGGTGAATTGCACTAAACATCTCCAAACTATGCCCAGATTCTAATTGAGTTATCAAACATCTCCAAACTATGCCCAGATTCTAATTGAGTTATCAAACTATGTCCATTCTATTAGTTCTTAGCCTCATTGGGGGTGTGAATTTGTTTACTTTTATGTGAATTAGATCTCTGGGTAGAATTCATTTTTTATTTTCTGAAACTTGTTTTGCCTTCTGATTTCTGGTTTTTTTCTTCTTCTAGTTGTGGTGTTTGATAGGGGTTACAGCATAGATATGCCACTTCCCCTGCTTTTGAATTCATCTTTGATTTGGATGTCGGATAAGCATTTGATTTGGATCAAAATATGTTTGAAAGAAGATTTTTGGCCTTTTAACATTGTGTTTTTCCTAGGATTCTCCAGTCTTTAACTATATCAACAACCTCTCCCCAATCAAGCCAGTCAAATCCGTGCATGTAACTCAGACATTCAACCCGCTTAGTTTTGCATCACTGCCCTCTATTTTCACTTCGCCCCATGTCAGCTCTCACAAGGAATCTAGGTTCCTTAAATGGTAATGAACTAGTATTATACATTCTTGATTTTGTTTAGTTTCATGCCTTATAATCTTTTTTCTTTTCTTTTTTATTTGCTTGGTGGTATAGCTCTACAGATCCATCGAAACCCAAGTTGTCTTCTGCAGATGGGACTAAAGTGAGTACGATCGAGGAGGCGGGTGTGGATGTCCAGGAGAATTTTGATCCAGGAGTTTCCCTGGGTGAGGTTTCTTTTGATATGGATAATGAACCATCAAGGATTGCAATCGAGCTGCCACAGACCTTAAAATATGATTACGGTAGCCCTGGCTGTGATCCAACACCTTGTGTAATCGAAATGAATTGTGTCTCTCAATCAACCTTCAAATCTATCGCAATTGTTCCGTTCGTTCAAGAGGCCTCTCAAAAAGGTTTATCAGAGGAAGTTCAAGAGTCCTCTGAAAAAGGTTTATCTGATGGCGTGGAAGTAGCGGCCACTTTCCAGATTGAGCGAAAAAAGGGAAACTATTGGATCTGAGTGGGAGAGTTTGATTCCTGAGACATCTGACCTATTGATTTATCTCTTTGAATTTAAGCGCCTCATTGTGACGAAGAGTTTTGAAGAATGTGTAAGATTAGAAGCAAAATATCTTAGATATTATTGTTTATTATAGTTAATAATGTTGAACTACATTATATTTTACGTTAATGTAAACTTTGATTTATTATTATGGATTTTATTTTTCTTGTTATGGATTTTAAGTTTGTTGTTATGGATGTCAAGTTTATTGGAAAATGCTACAGGTTAAATTTGGGTAATAAAAGAGTGGAAAACAACATTTGACAAATTAGTTTTAATTTGCAAAATCAATTTCTTTTAGCTATAGAGAGGTAATTAGCGGCGTTTGTATCTTAAAACGTCGCTATAGATATGATCTTTTGCGGCGTTTGTTCTAAAAAACGCCGCTATATACCAGATCTTTTGCGATGTTTGTGGGAAAAACGCCGCTAAATCTCAAGACCTATTGCGGCGTTTTTGGGGAAAACGCTGCTAAATCTCAACATCTATTGCGGCGTTTGTGGGAAAAACTCCGCTAAATCTCAACACCTATTGCGGCGTTTGTTGAAAAAACGCCGCTAAATATCAACACCTATTGCGGCGTTTATTAGACAAACGCCGCTATATATCGTTACCTATTGCGGCATTTTTTGTTACCAAACGCCGCGAACTTTAGCGACGCTATTTTTAATGGCGCTTTTTGCGGCGTTTGTCATAGCGCCGCAGGTGTTTTTTGCAGCGCTTAAAAACGCCACTATAGGTAAAAAAAACGCCACAAATGTACAGTTTTGCTGTAGTGTGGTTTTTTTATCATCACTGGTATTGTATTTGAATTAATTCGGATTAAATATTATAGAAATTTATTATAGTGTAATTCCCTTGATCCATCTTATTTGTCATTCTGAACTTTATTTAGAGAACTTTTTAAACTTATTGATTTTAATTATAAAAGAAAATGTTGTTTTTTTCCTAAAAGATTTGAGTTTGAATAGCTGGATTTACAGACACGGAATCAGCTATGAAGTCCTGAATTCAGCTTGATATGAATATTTGTACGTTTGCCTGTCTGAACTTTGACTGTATTTAATAATCCAAAGTTTGCTGAAATATTCCGGTGAATAAAAAATTGCTGAGGGATGAATGTGAATGAATGATGGTATAAGAAAAGAGTTATTTAATCTGCATTCGCTGTATATGCAGCCTTCAGCCATGTGAACCAACATGCATTGCATGCGCATGCACATGTGCATGGTTGTTGAAATTCATCTGGATTAGAAGCATAACTCTTTTCTCCATATGTGATGATAATATAATCTTGAGATTCACTATGTGAAATGCTGATGTGATTCTGTAGGGATAGATCCGTAGTACTGATGAAATCTTTGAAAGTTTTAAATTCTTATATAATTTAAATATTTTTTCATTTTTTAATTAATAATTCGTTTTCGATTCTTTAAAGCTTTGTAAATTTATCTTTTATAATATAAAATCTTGCGTTCGTCTCTAATTCTCAGGTTTATTGCCGAATGGGAACTTCGAGTATGGGCCAAAGCCATCAGAGCTGAAAGGAACAAAAGTGATGATCCCCAAAGCCATTCCCAACTGGGAAATTTCAGGCTATGTTGAGTACATAAAATCAGGTCATAAACAAGGCGGCATGTTGCTAATAGTACCCGAAGGTGCATTTGCTGTTAGGTTAGGCAATGAGGCCCTCGTTAAGCAGAAGATTAAGGTCACTAAGGGCATGTTCTACTCTCTAACCTTCAGCGCGGCTCGAACATGTGCACAAGAGGAAAGATTGAACATATCGGTCTCGCCGAATTACGAGAAAAACGACTTCGGTTTATTACCGATTCAAACAATGTATAGCAGCAATGGATGGGATTCGTATGCTTGGGCTTTCCAAGCTGATGAGTCTGAAATAGAGATCTCGATTCATAATCCGGGCGTGGAGGAAGATGCAGCTTGTGGCCCTCTTATCGATTCGGTTGCATTGAAGACCTTGTACCCTCCGAAACGTACCCGAGGTACATAAAACCGACCGGCCTATCAATCGATATTTTCGAACTTCAAAGTTCATGAATCACTAACTGATTGTTTGATTCAACAATTTGCAGCCAATCTACTAAAGAACGGAAATTTCGAAGAAGGTCCTTATATCTTCCCGAAAATGACTTCGGAAGGAGTTATAATTCCACCCCAAATCGAAGACGAACACAGTCCTTTACCAGGATGGATAATTGAATCCCTGAAAGCCATTAAGTACATTGACAGTGAACATTACTCTGTTCCTGAAGGCAAAAGAGCCATCGAACTGATCGGCGGAAAAGAAAGTGCTGTGGCTCAGATCGTTAAGACGACAATCTGGAGAACCTATGCGCTGACATTTGCCGTTGGTGATGCTAACAACGGATGCGAAGGTCCCATGATGCTCGAAGCATTTGCAGGCAAGAACACCGTGAAGGTGTCGTATAACTCCAAGGGCAAAGGAGGATTCAAACCGGCTATTCTCAAGTTCAGGGCCGAGTCGGAACGAACACGGATTATGTTCTATAGCACATTTTACACCATGAAAAGTGACAACTCGGGTGCTCTTTGTGGACCCGTTTTGGATGATGTGAAGCTGCTTAGTGTCCGAAATTCGCATCACCTGTAATTATCAGTGCTTGAAAAATGATTGTTGCATTCCTTAGGCAACAAATCGATTTGCTCCGTTCATTTAGGGGTAACAAACACAAAGAGGGTTTACCGGTTTAGTGGAAACAATAATGGATCTATCAAACTTTTGAATTCTGGTATAGTTTAATTTCATTTACATTTTCTATTGACAATACGTTTTTATCCTTAAAATGATATAAGTCCGACCACATAATATAAAATAAATCGTGGGTCCGATATGAAGTTCATGAATCCAATAAACCCAAACTTAAACTCACATACTTTTGATTTCCCACTGAAACCTCGTCGAACAAGAACATTAGAATTACATTAAACAAAACAAGTCTTACAGAAGAGATTTGATGCCATGAAAGATGGGAATCCAATTTAATCTGTTAAATTCATCTTTTGGGCCTTCAGAATAACAATGAGACTAGCACAGTCCTCCAATTCAACAAATCCCTCCCAAGTCAACTATATTTTTATACTTCACATACGGTAAAGATTCATCTATTATATCAAAATTTAAAATTTAACCACATACTTCACTTTTAAGACATTATATTTTTTACTTGCTTTTTCCTATTATTGTATGAAAAAGATGACTAGCTTTTTCAATCGTTTATGTTTTATAGTTTTATTTTGTTAATTCAACCTTTAATCGTTAAAAATACATAATTAATTGAACATCATTGTTTTTAATCCTTTATATATACAAGTTTATAAAAAAAATTGATAACATATATATATATATATATATATATATATTAATTTTTCAAAAGATAGATTTAATAGGGCAGAAGAAATATATATTACTTTTTCATTGCACAAAACATACGCATTAATTTCAACAATGGAACCCAATAATGACCCGAGTTGGCATGTTCCCTCTGGGTGACCCAAGTTTAAGCAGGCAGCAGCAGGTAAAATTGACCCACTAAATCAAGCGGGTAGAAAAATTAGCCCATTTAGGTAAATTCAAATTATAATTTGAGATCTACTATAGTACTAGACAAATTCGTCAAGCCCACAAGATAAATTTGTTCAAATAATATTTCTTTATTCAAATATATCTATCAACGCGACTAGTCAAGATGACACGTTCTAATAAAAAAATATTTTATTAAAACTCAATATGCTCACTCATCAAATTAATGTAACAACTGTCGTATTTTCCAAAATAAAATATCTAATGTCGTATTGGATTAAATAATTAAATAATTAACTTGCTTACTGGACAAAATAATTAAATAATGAGAAAATAACCTCAGTGACCGAAAATGTCTTATAATATACGATTTTGACCAACTTTTTTTGGATTTGCCAAAATGGCCAACAAAATCGTAATGCGATATCTAATTCGCAACGCGATCTTCAGATTCGCAAATCAGTTTCCATATTTGCAACACGAACTTCGACTATCGCATTGTGATTTTCCAAATTCGCGTTGCGATTTACATATTCGCATTGCGATAGTCGGAGTTCGCGTTGCGATTTTCCAAATTCGTTGCGGTTTACGTTGCGATTTACATATTCGCATTGCGATAGTCGAAGTTCGCGTTTGCGATTTTCCAAATTCACGTTGTTGCATTTGTTTCTTAAGAATTTTCTCTAAAAAGGATATTATTTGCGCGGACGTGTCAAAGACAAGTATTATCACGACCACGACCACGAGACGAGACGGACGACGACGACGGTGGCGCGCGAGAGTCCCCCTTGTTCTCTATCACTCAACAAGGAAGTGGGAAAGCCAAGCCTTAAATACCATTCCCAATAGTGTTTCCAATACTATGTGAAATTGAGCATTACCAATACTTGTTTTCAATACTATGTGATTATTCAATAAACAATTAACAATCATGCACCTTAAAACAACTGAATCAGCAACCAATTGCATTAGTATTATACGATTAAATATGTCATAATTAAAAGCCAATCTACAATCACATAATTTAATATCTAATGTAATTAAAAAAAATCTCTTATAATTGTAATTATGGGCACAAAAAAACATGAAAACTAAAAGTCATGTTCTGATTATCGCAATTTTAAGCAAAACATTCAAAAAAAATTACATCACTCGCGAGAATAAAAAAAATTATTATCGTGCAATTACAATCAATTGAAAATAAATTAAAATTGTATGAAAACTAAACGAACCACAAATACTTTTCATACAAATACTAAAGTCATTAACTATAATTTACAAATAATATCACTATTTAAGACTCAATCCCACATAGTATTGGAAACAAGTGTTGGTAATGTTCAATCTCATATAGTATTGAAAACACTATTGGGAATGGTATTTAAAGCTTGGCTTTTCCACTTCCTTGTTGAGTGATAGAGAACAAGGGGACTCTCGCGCGCCGCCGCCGCCGTCGTCGTCTCGTCTCGGGTCGTGATCGTTATCATGGTCATACGTGTCTTCGACACGTTCGCGCGAATAATATATTTTTAGAAAAAATTCTTAAGAAACAAATACAATACCACCAGTCATTGCGATTTTGAACTATCGCAATGCGAATATGTAAATCGCAACGCGAATTTGAAAACTCGCATTATAAATCTGAAAACTGATTTGCGATACTAGAGATCACGTTGCGAATTAGAGATCGCATTGCGATTTTGTTGGTCATTTTGACAAATCCAAAAAAAATTAGTCAAAATCGTATATTATAAGACATTTTCGGTTACTAAAATTATTTCCTCTTAAATAATTAACTTGCTTACGATATAGGGCCAAATCTGCCGGCAGCAGCATCATTATAAAACGTACGTAAGTTCGTCCAAACAGGGAAAAAAACATATACTACAATAGGACCACATAGAGTTATAAAAAATACAATTTAGTCCTACAATAAAAACTTATGTGGTCCTACCATCCATGACGTTGTCATTTTCCGAATGCCTAATAGAAGGAAATCATGAGATTACTCTTGACAAATACAAGTCCAATTTTCATTTTTTAAATGCTCTTAAAACATTGTTTACATGCTCCACACTTAGAATTAAGCAATGGCATTAGGCAACAAACAATATCAAGAGGGTCGATCATGACTTCACAAGTCCCAGTATCAAATTGAAAATTCACTTCAGCAGAAACAACAGTTAAGTCTCCTCTGTCGGCATGTCTCTGCCTTGTGATCTGTAATGTCACATGTAACAATAAACATGGATGAATTTAAATCGAAGGCCAATTAACCAAATTATGTTATAATTATGAGAATAAAGAGGCTCTTCGATAACATACCTTAGCAAAAGCATTCATATTTCTCAAACATGTAGTTAAGTGGTAGCCACCCAAAAGTCTTAAAAGAAAAATAGTAAAGGAGGAACCTACCTAGTACCGAAGGGTATGAACTGAAGCAACCAAAGTCCATACTGCATGCAACAACAATAAATAGGATTCCAATGTCTGAATTTCTAATAAACCACTTCTACTCGAACATCAATCTAAAATGTTCCACTAAGCATCAAGCGCTGATAATGATTAGGGAAAAGAATGTGTTACCTGCATGTTCTCATGCACTGTACATGATGGAGGAAAACCAACAATTTAACCACAGCATTGATCTTTTGTCATGTAGAATCCATGATAAAGAAAACAGATATATTGCATAATACAAGAATCTCTCTTACAGAATACCACTCTCACCGACAGGTGATGGTTTTCAAACGGGGAGTCCTTTGACGGGGCTCAGAAGTACCCATCTAGAAATATCAAACAACCGCTTGTGAAGTTAAAAGCACCGTTTCATCATGGTATATAAACACCGATTTCAACTTGTCCAAAATCATCAGTATGTACAAAATCGTTAATACAATTAGAATGCAGCTTAAGGCCACAAATTAAACTCGTCTGATTCAAAGATGCTAGGATAATCTCATCTACTCAAGCAGTTACTACAAGTGTTTCCGCAGAGAGAGAGACTAGGTCAGGTTCAGAGCAATTCATCAATTATGCAGCCTAAGGTTTTGTTATTGGAAATCATCATCCAGAAATACCAAATTTATTGTTAATACAACTTGATTTTTTTAAGTGCAAATGTGGCCTATTTACATACTAAAACTGAAGGGTGTCTTTTAAGATTGTCTTGATTTATAGGCAGCGGCAACAGATATAACAATTTATACCAGCATTTCAAAAGCAAAAATCCAAATTCGAAAAGCTTTATAGAAATATCCATACCAAAAGCAGGGTTTAAGGGATCCATTAGGGGAATAAACCATGGATGTTGCCCATTGGTCAACTGAAAGAGGTGCCAAACTTAAACCCAATCATGGCTTTTGAAGCTATGTATGAATGCCTCCAACAGTGACAATGAGATACTCTGAGAAATCATCAGGACATTCCCCAGATACTGCTGAAATGAAGAATCGTATAATATTTATACCCGCCATCAAAAGACAATGATGCAACAACAAATATAAAACTGCAAATATATATAATTCCAGGTAGAATCCATAAACCAACCAGCACCACAACATAATTTACAAGAGAAAAATTTACGAACATGGCAATATCAAAGATAAATTCAGAGACAAGGAGTAACAATTCAATATTTCTGAAAACCGGGCTCAACCATATGCAATTTTCTGAAAATTGGCTACTTTTACAATAGAATCCATCAGTGTCCTTCCCGGTGATTACAATGCACTTGCACTTCTTTTCATTTAAAAGCTATTTTCAATAATCAACAATTATCACTTGGAGAAGTAGCCTTCTACTCTGTTACGTCAATATTGACAAACAACACAACTACAAAATCGGCAGGGGGAAGAAGAAGAACAAAAACTTCACACTTAAAGATGTAGTTGAAAATAACTAATTTTATCTTTACAAATCTGCAGCACCGAGTAAAACAAAACACTATTAAAGATATAATAATTTCATTAAATCTAGTATCAACAGAATGAAAGCCTATTCTCATCATGTCTCAACTTTCTTAGCTCCCTTAAATGTTCATCATTCGAAATATTAAGAGTATCACGCAGATTTGTCACCTTTGCTTCTTCTTCCCATGTCAAAGGACCAGAAACATACAATGCCTCAAGGACTTGCTGATAGGCATGTAGCTCCAACCTGTGGAAATCCATTCCCATTCCTTCACTGGTGAAACCAGAACTACCTTCTTCTCCACATCTCCTTTCACAAGAAGAGTCAGCATCGCTACAATAATCCTCTAAGTTCTCACAACCGTTTGTTACATAAGCAGGAGACAAGTTAAGACCATTATTCCCCAAACCACTACAGCTACCAACAGACGATGCACAACTATCAATTCTATAAAGGCAAGAAGGCGTGCATCTTTCACCCAGTATATTATTTGGGGAAACAAACGCATCTACCTTTTCAAAAGCTGGAGAAGGAAGCCGAACTATTATCCTTTTACCATTAACACTACCATTTTCAATGGCCCTCTTCTTCCACCCACCATCATCCGAGAAGCCAAGCGAAGATCTTTTTCTCTTAGATGAGGAATTTGACGAACCCTGTTTTCAAAACAACGATTAGGGTAAGAATCAATAACTTACAATAAATAAAACAAATGAAGAAATAGATAAAATTATTGTAAAAAAAACCTTTCCAACGAGAAACCACTTGCCATCTTCCCAAGATTGTCGAACACGAAGGCGAGATCGATGTACTTCCAGTTCCCTACTCGATCCAATAATCCTCACAGAAAATTTGTTTCCACCGAAAACCCAAACTACAACGGCCGGTTTCCAACACAACTCGTCGAACACCTCTAAGACGTCGCTGGGAACCCAGTCATAGGTCCCGTTTGTCGGAGGAGGACAAGGCCTAATCGCTTTCCTAGAGACTCTCTCCACCGTCCCCGCCTCGCCAGTGACCGGAAACCAACCGCACCTAATGCTGTAAGTGCGGCCGTTGCCAGAGATAATCTCGGCGCAGCGCCAGGCGCCTGTTGGAATCTCCTGCTTGGTAAGGACCTCGACTTTGCTACCTTTCATTAATCTCATGATTGGGGATTTCGATTATAATCAGTGAAATTAGGGTATACGAAAAGAATCGCAGAAATGAGTGAAATTGGTAAAAGAATTGTGAAAGAAATCAAAGAACGAACAAACTTGGGAAGGAGAGTTATATTGGAGTTTTTATAGGGATAAGGGTTTTATTAGTTAAATCAGAAGTGTTTGCGATGATCCGACGGTTAATAAATGTGGGACCCCCCAATGAATCTGACGGTCAGGACGAGGGCGCTTTGGTTAAGCCGTTCCTTGCCAACTAAAAACTCGCAGGTGGAGTTAGTTGCTTATATATAGTTTATCATTTATAAATTATATATTTATACTTTTTAATTTATTTATGATTTTTTAATATTTTTTTTTATAGTTGATTGAGTTTTAGTTCGATTTGTATGATTATGATAAGAAATTTGTAATTTGAGCAGATATAAAGCTAGAAAGCATAAACTTTTTATTATCATATTAAACTCGAATTATAAATTTTCATGAGAGACAAAAGTGTAATTTCAACACTTGTGTTGGCTTTTAATTTTATAATTTTTAGTAGGGGTCAAAATCGGGTATCTGGTACTCGTATTTTCGGGTACCCGAATTTTTTTGGTATCAAAATGTCAGCCAATGTCCCAGCCCATTATATCCGACTATCTGTAAGTCGGGTACCTATAAAACACAAATATTATCAAAAATTTAAAAAATCATAAATATTTAATATAAAAAATAATATATATATATATATATATATATTATGGTGATAAGATTTAAAAATTTAAGAACTTTGAAGGTTATGGTGATAAGATTTAAAAATTTAAGAACTTTGAAGGTTATGGTGAAATAATTTGAGAATTATAAATAAATATTTAATATAAAAAATAATATATATATATATATAATAAATTAGGTACCAGGTTGGCAGATACCCGTTAAGCAAAGTTTTGGAAACACGAAAAATTTAGTGGGTCAGGTGTTTGACCCATAAAATCGGATATTATCAAAATAAATATCCAATATTTTTTAACTGAGTAGGCGCATCGACGATCATATCAATCAAATTGGGTATTTTTGAACACCCCTAAAAATTAGGATAGAATAGGTTGTCAAAATGTAATTTGATCATGTACTAATTTGTAATCTTTTGATTTTTAAAAGTACTTATATTTAATTTAACTATTTTAGGGGCCATGGTTCCTGTCAACCTCTAACTGGTCTCTAAATTTAAAGTTATTTAAGCCAGCAATAGCTTTCAGTTTAAGAGTTTGGGAGTTACGAGTGATTTAAATTTTGTATACAAATTATATTTATTTTATTTTAAAAATATCAATTATGAATTATCATTTTAATTTATAAAGTGCCTTTAATAGTTAAAAATAATATAATTGTTTCTCATAATTTTAAATTCAAACAATTGTATTTATAAGCGTACGTCTGTTATCAATGAATAAGAAAAGAAATACTATTCCTAGACTATTAAAAATGAATTGTCATTTTATATTTTAAACGATCATTTCAAATATATTTTATAATAAATATTATTTATCATATTTTATAAGATTAAATTTATAATAAATACATCTTTCAAGAAAATTGATATGATGTCTAAATTATTTGGTTAGATTTCTTTTATTAATTTAATCGTATATGTTAAAATAGAAATGACATTAATAGAATTAAAGAAACAATAATAATTTCTTTATCATTAATATCGTTTGGTTCGCGCTTTAAGGATATTCTAAATATATTAAACGGTTACATATAAAAAAAATTATTATAAATAACAAAATTATTTAATTTCATTTTGAGGAAAAATGTATTTAATTACGAACTTTTCCAATTTAATCAAGATCTAAAGTTGGACTATTCAAAGAAGTGATTTTCGGTTTGAAACTTTAGAAAATCAATAATGTTAAATATTGGATACGATATATATATATATATATATCTTTATTTTATTTTTCTATTAATTGTTATAATTTTTTTATAAATTAACCAACGAATGTTAGTTCAAATACATATGATGTGTTGTCTATGTAGAATATTGAACCTAATTTTCAGATTTATTTTCATTAAATATCAAAATAATGCGAAGGAAAAAAAGAACGGTGATACGTCAATTTAAGCACAATTACGTCAATTCATTTTAACAGGATGGTGATTCGTGTCCACAATTATCACATTATGTGTCACGTTAGTCATGCCATTAAATATAATTTTATAAAAATTAAAAGTTTAGATATTAAATGTATAATTTATCTTATAAAAATAATATAATTAATATTTATTTAAATAATTTACATTTAAATTTTTAATTAATTTATAATTACACGTTGAGTATTTTATTGTCGAGTTTTATAAATTAAATAAATGATGTTCATCGTAGTTCTCAGATTCGGGTTAAATTGTCATCCCTACTCACACATGACGGGACAATATGAGAATCCTTGACGACTAGATTAATTAATAGATCTCATGGTTAACTATTAGTACAATTCAAAAGAAGAATAGATTATACATCATTTTACTATTGATCACATTACTAAAAAATATATAATAATATAATTAAATTACTTTATTTTGCTTTAATTATCGAACTAAAATTCCATCGATGATTGATTTGGATTAAATTTGGGTAAATTAGATATACGTTAATATCCATCCAACTAAAACTTAGGTCTATTTTGATTCAATTCGGGTTGTTTTGGGTTTCAAAACTTAGACCATCATGTTCAGGTTTATATTGAATCTAGAATATGGTAAATTAGTTAGAATAATTAAATTTGGATCAAAGTTTATCATACCTACCCGAAACGTTTAACTTTTAGAAGGAAGGAATGATTAATGATATACCCAAATGTGGAAGATCATCTGGCTGCGTAATGGAACCATCGGCATAACCCTGCATAGGTTGCGGCTCATCATGTTGGGGAAGACTCGCAGATTCTGCATCTTGACTGAATAAGATGGTCCAGTCCGACCACAATGGGTCCATTATGCCACACAACGGAACAAAATATATATAAAACTCCAACACTGTGAACATGGTCTTTATACATGCATTATTTGTGAAACTGAGCTGAAAATGTTATGTATATTCTTGTGAAGTTGTATTGTATAAAAATAATTGTTATGTTCCTGATGAATACAACAGGCCTAAGAACAGAGCAGTTAAAAGACATGAACACCATCAGTTTGAAGTGAAAAATATAAAAGAAGATTCCCTCACCATCGAAGTAGTACGAGAAAAGCTAGGGCGCTCGGGGTGGGGGTATGGAATTGTCTTGAGTGAATGAGATGGGTATGCCAGGACTCGGCGCCCTTTCTTGCCAACTACCACCTCCACAATCTGCCACAATATATATCAAGTCTTTATAATGTAAAAAATATTTGAAGATGGGTAATAAATGAAGTTGTAGTAAAAGAAATACCTGAAGATTGATCCTCTGCTGATCCCCGTTTGTCTCCCATAATCTGTCACCTTCCTTCGAGCTCTCTGTCTCTGTGTCTCAACTTCCTCTCAGCTCTGTTTCCGTCTAAAATTGCAGTTCGCTTGGCTACATATAAATCATAATAAATTAGTATTATTATAATAATTTATATAAAAATGTCCATTTTGATTACATACTTGTCATGCCCTTTCTGCACAATACCATCCATATTTTTATTTTTCGTTATCAGGACAACAGTCATGTCACCTACCCAAACCATCCCTTTTATTTATATTTATGTATTCTCTCAATTTAGTCATATTTTTAATGAATTAAAACAAATTTAATTCTTCAATTGAATGATGTCATTTGTTACTAGTGACACATCTCACCATTCGATTGAAGGAATACCTTTATTTTAATTCAATATATTCATTTTCCATAAATCAGAGGGTAACACATGTCACCCTTTGGTTGAAAGAAAACAATGCAAACCAAATTGAGGTCAAAGAAATTCAAATTTGGGTCACTTAGAAAACTAAGCATTCACCCAACCATTGAGCCAAGACTAGTGTTTGGTTTAAAATAGACAACATGATCTATACATTTTATATCTTAATGTATTAATACTTAACTTACATTCATGATATTTTATATATATTATCTTTAAAAATATTTGTTTATATTAATTTAATAAATATATTTTATTTTAATTTTAATTTAAAGATAAATATTTTATGTTAAAATATTTTAAAGTTAGGATAAAAATAAAATATATTTAATAATTTAAAGTAATAATAAAATATATTTAGTAAATTAAGATAAAACATATATTTCACAAAGTTAAAATAATAATAATTTTTTTTAAAAGTTTAGATAAGAATAAAATATATATTTTTATATTAAAATAAAAAAAATTGAGAATATGTGAAGAACATGGACCAAATGTAACCAAAATATTACATTACCTAATTTGTTAACTATTAACAATAATTAACCTGTGGTGACCACGTCTTAATTAAATTGAAACGAAATTGACTATATATTAATTAAATAAAAACGAAAGTGATTATATATTATGTTTTTTGAAATATTGAGAAAAAATTGTCAAAACAAAACATAAGTGATCAATTAACCCTAAATTATATTATCATTTTAACATCACATTAAAATAATATTAAGAATGGTTGAATAAAAAATCACATTAAAATAATATTAAGAATGATCGACTTTATTTCAAAAAAAAAAAAGAATGATCGACTCATGCGCAGAAAAGAACCAATGCAGGCGCTTCAATGTTCAGCCAATTGCATCATCAAACTCTATAATTATTAAATTTCTAGCCGAATTTATATTTAATTAAATTTAAAAATAATTAGAATTATTTTTCACTTATTGACTTATATCGGTGGCCGCCTTCTCATATACAAAACCCCGGCTCCTTGAGGACCATAAATCTTATGACCAATTAACTCATCAAACTAACGTTCCATTTCTCTACATCAACCTTAATCTTCCCAAAAAAACTTGTGCAGAATCCGTTAGAGAAAATTTGTTTGAGTCATCGTTAATCTCTAATATAAATATAGTTTAATCTGAAGCTGTAAATAGTATTTTAAATCTTGATGATGATGATATATATATGACCATCTCGTATGTAGTGTGGAAGTGCAGAATTTTCTTAAATT